ATGAATAAATACATACAGCTGGTAAACAGGGTATGGAGCCCCACAGGGCAGGGCACCACCCAGGGTCTGGTGGGCAAGGGCAGAAAAGTGTCCCTCCCAGTGCTCTAGCTATCACCCCCACAAAAGGCAAAGAGAGTCGCAGAGCTGCCTGGGCTTGTTACCAGAAGTGTACCAACTTCGGATGCCCTCACTTGCAACTCTGAAACCCCCTCAGGAGCTGGTGGACAGGAAGATACCCCTTTTCTCCCACCCGACACATAGACTCAACACCCACACTCTCACGCTGCTGTACCCTCCCCGCCCCCATGGGCACTGGCCAGCCTGCAGGCCCCTGGCTCAGGTGCCAGCTCCCTTCCTAGGCCCCGCCCAGGCCTACAGCCGCTTCCTGTTTCCTGTTGCCGGGTGCTCAGGCTGCCGGCTCAGTTCTTAGCCAGGCCCACTTCTCACTCCTCAGCCCCCCTGCAGCCTTTCCCTCGTTACACGTGGGCTTCCTGGTATTTGGGTCAATCTCCCTCCTCAGTTGTGTTTTCTTTGTATGCTTTTTGGACCAGGTCTACACGTTTTTCCAAACAGCCCTGCATTCATATAGTAACTTAAAGAGTGTATCAGTTGGGCAGCCAGTCAGCCAGATGGTGTGGCTGGAAGGGTGAGGAGGAAAGAGCACCGCTGGCTTTGCACACAGAAGGTGTGAAATTTATCCTCTCTGAAACTCAGTCTCTTCATCGGAATGTCGGGGTGGTAATGAGAGTGGCCCCCACCTCTCACACAGATTTGTCCTCAGCATCGGATGAGGTTGTCGTTGTGAAAGGCCTTTGTAGGCAATAGAGTGCTGTGCAAATACAGCGTTTATTCATGGTCCCTGTCCTCCGTGAGGTGGGCAGACAAGTGCAGTGTGGCTCAGAGGCTCCGGGATTACGCAATGAGGGGTGGCATTAAGGTCAGAGTAGTGGGAGAGACCAGCTCTCCCGCCCTGCTCTTCAAACTATGAGGGTGGAAGGCCAGGTTTTTAAATTTCCCATCCATCAAGAATCGATACTTTTGTAAAATACAAAATCACACAACTGGATGTGGTGACAATGCCAAATTGATATCAAAGTGTTTAAATACTTATTCTCCTTTTCTGTACTTATCACAGACAGGTGACAGTGTGCAGACCAGCGTGTCTCCAAGCAAGACCCGCAGACCACTGCTGGTCCACTGCTTTTTCCTCCCAGTAGTTCATTTTTATGAATTTTACAAATAGTTCATGAAGGGAGAGCCCAGTGTGGGTCACAATGACTGAATTGGACTGCATTTTCCAAACGGGCTTTCAGAGGCTGTGGCACTGGGACAGGAAGGTAGAAGAGAAGGCTGCTCCAGGCTAAGGAAGGGCATAAACGTGGTGGAGAAATGTGTTTAGGGAGCATCAAGGGGACAGTTTCCTATAATGAAGGAGGTAAGTACTGGACATTAGTGAGAGATGCAGAGCAACAGAGGTCAGATGGCGAGGGGCTGGAATGCCAGACAGAGCATTCTAGATCTTGTCCCTTAAGAAATGGAGTGCCTGGAGATTCCTGAACGGAAATGTGCCATGCATCGTCTTTACTGTAATTATGTGTGGACTCCTTTCTGTAGCACACTAGATTGAAAGATCAGCACTGCTTCTGTGTGTGGCCCCTGCACATGGTAGGTGCTCAGTGAGTGGAAAGTGTTGGTTGCTAAGGAGAGGAAGGCAGGGGGAGCTTTAGAAAGCGTGCTGGCCTGGGCAGACTTGGCAGGGTGGAGTCTGGCTGGGGTGAGAGCACAGCTGTGTCACTCAACGCGGCCACAGGAGTGAGTAGAAGGCACCCAGGGGAGAGACCTGCTGAAGGCAAACATCAACAGGCCTCAGGAGCAAAAGAAGAAGTGAGCCACAGACTGCTTAGTCTCGGGGCTGGGGGGAGGTGAGGACATTAGAGGGCATGCCTCGTCCCTTCCTGTCCAGCATGGGACGTGCAACATTTGCACAGATCAAGACCCCGGACCCCAGCCTTCAGCCAGGTTTTCCTCTCTTGCCTCCCAGCACTATCCCTTGGGCACACCTGTCAGGATCCTAGCCAAACACCCTATCCTCCCCAGGCTTAGCTGGATGACACACTCAGCTGCTTTAAACCTCCCTGGGAAATCCATTCCTACAGCCACAGCTGCAACAGGTCCCCAAGAAGCCCTCCCTGCTACGCTCCTCTTGCCGGGGATGGGAGGAGGCCAGGCTGAGCACCTGCCCCACAAGTACTGAGGGCCGTGAGTCACACCAGATGGCCTGGGGGCCAGGGACCCTGGCAGCAGCAGGAATTCCCCCAGCATGGGCTCCCTCAGGGGTCTGGGGCCTGCTGCCCAGGAAGGGCTCTGCTGCCTGTTTTTCTCTGGGGTCAGTCTCTGCTCCCCTCAATGCACAGGGATCCCTTTCACAAAAACTGCCTAAGGCCCTGCCTCCCCAGTCAGCTTTGCCCTCCTCATGCTCTCTCTTGAGAGCCCAGGCGGCTGCAGATGCCACCTAGGACATGGCTGAACCACATCCAGACTGACCTACACAGGACGTGCAGTCCCCCCATAGGGGCTGCTGAAGGCCGATGCTAGGCCCCAACTCCAAAGGCCTACATCTACCTTGCAAACACTGGCCCCTGCAGACTCTGGTCCGTGCAGACACTGGCCCCTGCAGACACAGGCCCCTGCAGCTGAGTAGGCTTACTGCACTGCCAACCCTGCACATTTGAACTCTGTTGTTTTCAAAGCACCCTGAGAGTGGACAGGCCAGGTACTGCCAAGGAGCCATATTCTGAAGCTAAAGCTCAGAGAGGTTAAGTTACTTGCTCAAGGTCACACAGCTGGGAAGCAGTAAATCCAGGTGCTCTTTCCTTTGACATCAAACTGAGGGTGCTATGCCCTCTGAAGAGGACAGGTTTGGCCCAAGGACAGGGACCAACCTTTGCTGAGTGCTGGGCTCTTTGGTGCTTGAATTGGTATATCAGGAACACCTCCTTATCATCTGTTTTTCAGAAGGGGAAACTGAGGTTCAGGTTCAGGCAGTGACTTGTTCACGGTCACACCAGGGGTCAATGGTGGAGCTAGGACTTGAACCCAGGTCTGTGGGACTCCAAAGACAGTGGTTCTCCATCAGCACTGGACCCTGTTCCAGGCTGGGGGATGTATGCCTCGCTGACCCTTCTCCACCCACTCGGTCATGCCCCTCCTCGCTCTCATTTGTTTATCTCTGGACACATTTCCATACATCTACCCGACTTCTTTGTGCCCTCTGACCCCTAGGGTGTCAGAGACCCCATCTCTCAGAGATGTGCCCTTCCTCTGATTCCAGGGACTCACAAAGACAAGTCAAAGGCTTGCTGGGTCTTTATTTGCTGTGGGAGGTGATCGGGGAAGGGCAAGTTTGCTCTGCAGATCATGGGATGCCAAGGCTGAGGAGGGTGAGGTCACATGGGCAGATGCACACTTACCGGTGGGCTCTGACCCCAGCCTACTCCCCTACCCCCAACTTTGGTCTGCATGTGCCCCTCTGCCCTCTCCCTCAAGCTGCTCCATGGCAAGGAGAGTGGAGGGCACCCCAGGAACCAGGAAGTGTGGCCTGGAGAGCCTGCTGCAAGCCAGAAATTCCTTTGAAGTCCCCGGTTTTATCTTTCAAATTCATGTGAATTTTCCAATCCAGGTCATAAAATATCCATGTTTGCTTTAATATTAAAATGTTTAAAATTACTTACCAGTTCAATTGCTTAACTTCTCCCCCATTCTCTTCCTCCAAAATCTTCAGTCAAATCAGCAGGGCCATGCTTTAGTACCCAGCAGTTCCAAATCTCCCGCCATCCTCCGAGAACCCAGCTCACCTCCGGTTTGGAGGGCCCCCCACCACTGCCCCTTTGTACTTCAGCCACCATTCACCCCCAGTCTCTACCCCAAGGGAGAAAATCTCAGACTTCCTGCCCTGTGGAGAACATTTCTCTGAGGGGCCAAGTTACAAATCTGTGGTCCCTGGTTCCCCCCACCTTCTTGCACCAAGTTTACCCTTCTCGGCTGGAAGGGCTAAAAGAAAGGAACCAGCTGTCTTTGGTGCTGGGAAATAATTATTGCCTTGCCTCTGCGTTTAGGGCAGAAGGGAGGCAGTCTCTTATGGCCCATAGGCCTTGTCCTCTGGAGCTCTCATCTTGGGCAACCCCAGAGAGCACCCCCAGACCTAAGAAGCAGTGGCCCCCAGAAATCTGGGCTCATGGGTCGGCCAGCAGTCTACACTCCACAGGCCTTGAAACAAAGAGTCTCTCCTACAAGTCTCAGCAGCGTGGTCTCTTCCCTCCTCTCAGTTCCCTTCCTCCAGGTTCTCCAGGCGGCAGCTGAGGCCCAGGGTGTGTGTGTGTGGGCTGGGGGTGGGGGTTGGGGGAGGAATGGGGAGCCCGCACAGACAGGCTACCAAATAAACCAGTTACCATGGAGCTGATTCTGACTCAAGGCGACCCCATGTGTGTCAGAGTAGAGCTGCGCTCCATAGGGTTTTCAGTGGCTGATTTTTTGGAAGAAGATCACCAAGCCTTTTTTCCAAGGTGCCTCTGGGTGGACTTACACCTCCAACCGTCTGGTTAGCAGTTGAGCGTGTTAACCACTTGTACCACCTCGGGACTACAGACAGGCTAGGGAGATGAAGTCCTGCCCGTCAAGGCCACTGACTCGGGCCTCCCCCAGACTCCTGCTGCACATGCAGAGGGAAGCCGGAGTTGAGGCCCAGCCCCACGGCCTCCCAGTGCAAGACCTCTGCCCTCGCGGGACCACAGCTCTTGATGCAGAAAATAGGGAAACTGTGGGGGTGCCTGTGGGGTTCAAAGAATAAGGAATATGGACAAGCTCAGCAGCCAGAGGGGTGCACCCCGTCACCTCATCTTCATGCCCTGGGCACGGCCTTTCTTGCCGCGAGGTCCCTGCAGGGGCCCTCTAGGCAGCAGTGATGTGTGTTGGGGGGAGGGTTGTGATGACACAACACTCACCGGGGGGTGCTTGCGCTTCCTCCCAGGCCTCCCCACCTTCCGCGCAGTCGTGCCGGGCTCCTGCCGCTCCTCCTTGCCACGAGGCTCCTCCGGTTCCTCTCCCTCCTGTGGGCACAGACACAGCCTGTGAAGCCAGAGTCTGGGAGGCTGCATCCATGAGGCACCTCACTAGAGGCCCATCCCAGGCTGGTAAGGCCTCCCTTCCAGTCTAGCCCACCCCTTCCCATGCTGTTCCCTCTGGAAAGGAGGGTCTTCACCCTCACCCTGCCTGGTGAAGCTTGAACCACCCTTCACAGCCCCATTTAAATATATCCTCAGCAGGACTTCAGGGAAGACCTGCGGCCCCAGATGAATATGTCTCTCCCACCTGATGACCACGTTTTCTGAACCACAAAATCACAACACATGCTCTGACAAAGAATTTGTTTCTGAGTTATAAGTTTATTTATATATAAAAAAAATCTTACACAGATACAAACATTAAATGAGTCATGTATTTAACTTTATTGAGAATAAAGTCACATGAAAAGAAATATTAAATTTAGCAATGTATATTTGAAGTACATGCAATTCTCAAAATGAGGACTATCGTAGAAAATGGAGGACTTTTGCAGCTGCTGTAAATACACCCTGAAGCACTTGCCACACGGAGGTAGAATTACATACAGATAAGCCCTCTCGTCCACAGGAGCATCTTGGGGACCATGTCTTGGCTCTATTTTTTTTTTTTTTATAGTAATTTCTCTCTCTCTCTTTTTTTTTTTTTTGGTGAATCTTGCCTCTTCTTTATCCCCCCATGTACCAAGTTCTGGACCAGATGGAGGACCTTCTTTCCTCACCCCTCACACAGCACCGGCATGAGCCCAGGCCCCGTAGTGCTCGTCTCCTGTGGCACAGAGACAGAAACCTAGAAAGTCCTCCTGCCTCACTGCTCCAGTCTGGCCACAAACCACCCACGAGTCCCTTCTGACTCAGCCGGGCTCCAGCATGACTAATTACCAGCAGAGACAATGTTGGGAGGAAGAGAGAGAAAGGGATTCTGACCCAGCAGAGGGATAGCAGGCTGCTTTTCATGCCTGGATCGATGGTCTGAGGCTCTTCCTTGGGAAGGGGTCAACCCAGCGCAATGCTGGCACCACAGAGAAGGGGAAGGTACACAAGTTCCCTGGGGATTTAAGTGAGATGGCCTCAACTCTCTACTCAACTTTCATTTTCTATGATTTCAAAATAGTTTTGTGGTTTGCCACATTAATTTTCAGGTGATGGTGGGACATGCAAATGGAAACCTACTGCGACCAATTGTAGACATTAGACCAAAGAGAAAAGTATCACTGGTCCATGCAGCCAGCCAGCCATCCACTCATCACCTATCCATCCACCCATCACCCATCCATACACTCATCATCCACCCATCCATCCACTCCTCATCCATACATCCACCCACCCATCATCCATCCATCTACACATCCATCCACCTATCATCCATCTACCCAACCATCCATCCATCCACCCATCCATCTACCCATCCATCTTCCCATCATCCAATCATCCACTCACTCATCCACCCATCATTCATCCATTCACCCACCCATCACCCATCTATTTACCCATCCAAACACCCATCCATCTACCACCCATCATCCATCTATCTATCCATTCATCCATCTATCCAATGCATGACTATGAAGGATCTGTGGGGGGTGGGGTGCTGGGCAGTGGGACAGAATGGAAGGGAGATTTAGGGCATCAGCATCTGAGGTTCTGGGAGTCCTCTAAGGAGACTCAAGTAGAGGATGAACAGAGGAGCCAGGCCTTAGCACCAAGTGGTAGCTATGGTCAAGTTGGAAAGAGAGCAGAACTCATAAGGGAGATGGAGAGAAAATGGTCAAAGGAACAGGAAGAGAATGCCAGGTGTACTGTGGGAGCAAGGAAGGAGAGAGCTGCCAACCCAAGAGGCCAAATTTGTCAGATGGAAAGAAGCTGAAGACAAAGAGAAGATGTGGCTAGGGGTGGTAACCAATGACTTAGAGCAGGCGCTGTCAATAAGCAGTGCAGAATGACAAGGCCATGAGGACGGATGCGCTGGGGAAGGGCTGAAGAGGACAGTTTAAGGAGCCTAGCTAAGAAAGGGTCTAGAAGAGAAGCAAGCAGGCGGAAGAGCCTCATGTACATCTGTGGGCGGGAGGGAGGGGCAGCACCATGACCAGAGAGTCTTGAGAGGCTCGTTTCAGGAAAACACAGCAGAAAGGCTGTGGGGAGAGCTGCCAGCTGGTGGTGAGGCCTCTGTGAAGCTCTGGGAGGGGCCAAGCAAGGGTGGCCCCAGGACTCAGGCCAGTGGTTGGCCAGGTCTGCTGGTTCTGAGCTGTTTTTCAAGTCCCCCCAACCCTCCATTTAAGAAAGGATAAAGAAAACACTTCGATCACACAGAGAGAAAATATTACCAGTGCAGCTTAATACTTGTGAAGGTGACAATCAGATCTACATAGCTGTAGTGAATTATTCCAGGCTGAGATGACGCTTTTGGTCTGATTCTACCACTGCTTAATGGGCACCATCTGGATCATTCTGACAAGGTATCTCAGCATTTATAAAACAATCAGGGTTAGCATGAGGTCACAGAAAGGGCATAGAGCCTGGAGCAAACAGACCTGGGTATGAGCCCAGCTCCTCCACTTGCTGGTTATAGGGCCTCAGTTTTCTCATCCATAAAATGGGGGTAATGAAGGTGTCCATTCTGCCTGCTTCTCAGGTTTTTGAGAGGACAGGTGAACAAATGGTTTGTTCACTTGTCTGGTTTACTGCTCTATCCCCAGAGCCTAGAACGGGGCCGCCACTTAGGAGATGCTCCTCAAAAAACTCGTTGCTGTTGAGTCGATTCCAACTCATGGCAACCCCACGTTGTTTCAGAGTAGAACAGCACTCTATAGGGTTTTCAATGGCTGTAATCTTTTTTTCTTCAAATTTTATTCATTTTGTTGTTGAGAATATACACAGCAAAACATACACCAATTCAACAGTTTCTACATGTACAATTTAGTGACATTGATTACATTCTTCAAGTTGTACAACCATTCTCACCCTTCTTTTCTAAGTTATTCCTCCCTCATTAACATAAACTCACTGCCCCTAAGGTTCCTATTTTTGGAGTTGCTGTTGTCAATTTGATCCCATATAGATAGTTCTTAAAAGAGCATAATGCTTAAGGCAGACCTGTTTTACTAGTTAAGCTAAACTATTGTTCTGTTTTAAGAAGACTTCAGGGGATATTTTTGGTTTAAGGTTTAAAGATTATCGCAGGGAAAGTTTCAGGGGTTCATCTACCCTCCATGGCTCCAGAAAGTCTACAGTCTATGAGAATGTGAAATTCTATTCTGCATTTTCCCCCTTTTGATCAAGATTCTTCTATGGAATCTCTGATCAAAATGTTCAGTAATGGTAGCTGGGCATCATCCAGTTCTTCTGGTTTCATGGCAAAGGAAGCAGTTTTTCATGGAGGCAATTCCATGTCTTCCTATTCCTGACTCTCCTTCTTCTTGTGTTGCTCCAGGTGAAGAGACTAATTGTTGTGCCTTGGATGGCTGCTTGCAAGCTTTTAAGACCCCAGGCACTACGCCACAAACTAGGAGATAAAACAGAAGCACTAAACACGTTATTAGGCCAGTTAACTGAGATGTCTCATGAAACCATGGCCCTAAACCTCCAAACCTAGGAACCAAATCCCATGAGGTGTTTGGTTGTAAAAATGCAGCCTCGGCAGCTACTTTTTTTTTGCCATTGTTGTAAATATATCACACAACTTTTGCCACTTCAACTTTTTACAGGTATACAATTTATTGACAGGATTATAATAATTGGCTCTGTAACCCTACCCTTAATGCAATTTTTCCATCACTGTTAACCCCCCTTTCTCTTCTCTCTCCTGCCCCTGGTAACCACTAATAAACTTTGGTCTCTATATATTTGCCTGTCTTTTTATATAAGTTCATACAATATTTGTCCTTTCGTGATTGGCTTATTTCACTTAGTATAATGTCTTCAAGCTCCAACCATACAAGACTTTATTTCTCCTATTGGCTGAGTAGTATTACATTGTATGTATGTACCACATTTTGTTTATCCATTTATCTGGTGATGGGCATTTAGGTTGTTTCCACCTTTTGGCTATTGTAAATTGTGCTGCAATGAACATTGGTGTACAAGTCTCTTTCTGGGTCTCTGCTTTCAAGTCTTTTGGGTATATACCTAGGAGTGGAATTGCTGGGTCATATGGTAGTTCTATTTTTAATTTTTTGAGGAGCTGCCACACAAGCTTCCACAGCAGCTGCACCATTTTGCATTCCCACCAGCAATGGATAAGGGTTCCAACTTCCCACATCCTCAAACAACATTCGTTATTTTTTTTTTTTTAATCTCAGCCATTCTAGTGGGAGTGAAATGGTGTCTCATTGTAGTTTTGATTTGCATTTCTCTGATAGCTAATGACGCTAAGCATCTTTTCATGTGTTTGGTGGCCATTTGAATGTCGTCTTTGGTGAAATGTCTATTCAAGTCCTTTGCCCATTTTATCATTGGGTTGTCTCTTTGTTGTTAAGTTGTTGAAGTTTTATATATATTTTGTTTATTAGATTCTTGTTGGATATGTGGTTTCCGAAGATATTCTCCCAGTCAGTAACTTGTCTTTTCACTTTTTTGATAAAGTCTTTTGATGAGGTCCCATTTATTTTTGTCTTTTGATGTTCGTGCTTTTGCTATTAGATAATCCATTGTCGAAGGCTAGCTCTGACCGTGTTGCCCCTGCTTTTTCTTCTAAGAATTTTATGGTTTTAGTTGCATATTGAGGTCTTTAATCAATTTTGATTTTGTTTTTGTGTATGGTGTGGGGCAAGGATCTTGTTTCATTCTTCTGCATGTGGAAATCCAATTTTCCCAGCACCATTTATTGAAGAGACTCTTTCTCCCCATCAAATGGACTTAGCACCTTTGTCAAAAATCAGTTGACCACAGATGTGTGGGTTTATTTCTGGGCTCTCAATTCTATCCCATTGGTCTGTGTGTCTATTGTTATACCAGTACCAGGCTGTTTCGATTACTGTAGCTGTGTAAAA